GTCTGTCTCAAACTCAAACTGTCTGTCGGAACCTTTTTATGATGATATTTTTAGCATGCATTTTTGTGCGGATAATGTTAATGGGCAAACCTTTCTGTAGAGAGAAAAGGCCTGGAAAAGACTTAGATTGTCATTCCAGTAAAGTTATTTTTCTGCACACAAAACAGTTTGAACTTGGCTTTAGGTTTACTATACAAAGTTTCTGGCATTTCTTTTATTTCATTCTCTAGTCCAACATGAAAAAGGGTCGGGTGAGTTGTTTTTGAATGCTACCTATGAGATCTTAGGTAGGCCATGTCAATAGTTGTGAATTTCCCAGTAACAACATTTGATTTTCACACAATGTTTTTCATGTTGAGATCAACCCGAGCCATAATCCTCCATCGGTAGCTCGAAAAATAATAAAGAAGTATTTTTTTTTCACACGAGCGGTTGGTAATGCAAAGAATACTATGTCCTCTGGGTGGAGAGACAAACCTTTGACCACACACCTGTACTGTATAGCAAAGCAAGCAGAATGTTCTGGGTTTTTTTCCAGCGAGCTATGGAGAAGTTATTAAAAGATAACGAAGAGCAATCGGGTATTTAGCGTTCATTTTTGCAGCTACATCAGCGGTAATGAGGTTCTGAATCATTAAGAAAAAATAGTTGTAAAACCAACAGAAAGCACACACTTCTATAACTACAGTCCTAGTTACAGTATATAACAACTGTAAGTATAAGGATAAACTACTGCAAGGAACCTGTGACCATTAAGACACTGTACACAGCAGAAATCTCCAACTCATTCACCAGAGCGCCTAGTAGTGCAACCTGTTTTTTTTTACAGATTGCTTTTAAATAACAGTGACACTTTTAACCATGCACCCAAGTGTTTTATAGGCGACTATCTTTGATGACGTTTTGAGTAATGAACTGTTAAATACCTTATGAATAATCATTCACATACGTGTATCCGTGAGAGTAATTGTTTACTTCACTCCTTCGACTGAATCCAAAAACAAAAGCCGCTTGTCGTACCAGGAATTCAGTTTGAGGCCGACTTTCAGGATAACCTGCGCTTTTCTCCACAGCTTTGTGACCGGAGGCAGGGACAGTGGAAGAGCGCAGTCTCGCCACCAGAGGGCAGTAGAGCAGAGAGCCAAGGAAAGGAGAAGCCGACCAGCGCTTCATTGCTCAGGATCCCGCAATGCTCCAAGGTAGAAGAGAACCGCAACGAAATATAGGTGGTTTCATTTGCTATTGAAATGGGTATTTGTAGGGAAACACGTTTCGAAAATCCTAACAGTTTGATCGGTATTGGGTTTCAATCAGTGCAGATTTAGCGCTGCAGGTAAACGACAAACACAACCTTCCAAAATGAACTGCGTTCTGTTCCCTATCAGTCTTTTTAACTAAGTAAGTCTTCCTCCTTTCCCCCTGAGCCCGAAAAACCTGTGTAGATTAGAAGCTAAAATAGTCAATTTTTGTGTAGGTACTGTACAGCTAAGTGAGCAACCTCGTTTTAACGTGGTGATAGATAACTTTATTGATCCCGAAGGGAAATTCATGTGTTACAGCAGTCCAGCCCAAGACAAGCAAAAACAGACATCAGAACAGACGAAAAATTGTACAAAATAAATATAAAATAAATAACAATAAATACATAGGTGTGTGCAAAATATGATGATCATAGTCACTGTAAAAACAATTAAAAACTAAAAACAATAAAATGTGCAAAAGACACTGTAAAAACAATCAAATATGTGCAAAAACATTAGATGTGATGTGCAAATACATTAGAATTTGTAATAGAATTGCAATGTTAATTCGCAATATCAAACACTTTCCTGATCCAAACCACTGTAAAAAAAAATCGAAAGCAATCGAAAATCGGTATTTTTGCTGCTCATAGCATAGATGCAATTTCAGCTGCTACCACAAGAGGTCATCAGAGAAAAAGACTGCCAAGCAATAACATTCTAACCATTACGACTAAAATTATTTGCACAGTCGAGCATGCCTGATTTTTGATCCTGTCTCTTATTCGATTTCCATGATTACTTGGATGTGTAGTGTGGGAAAGTCGGGTAACAGAAACACATATATCAAATTATATAAATGAAATATAATCCAAATTAAAAAAAACATTGTAATCTTGTAAAAGCTATGTATTTTGAAAGAATTTCACCTTTCAGACATTGTAAGGAGGAAATGAAATGTGGGATATACAGTATAGTTGAAAACATAGGATTTAACTAAAAGGAGGCTTTTTCCAAATGGTGCAATGTACTGTACTTGTAAGATTTTAGACTATCGTGAGAAAATTTGGTCACCATGTTCTAAAAAAGATATTGTTGCTCTGTGATCAGGCTAGAGAAAAACAATAAGTCACTCCGGGTTTAAAAGAATGTCCTGCTTTCACAGACTCGAAGAAGTGAATCTCTGCTGTCTTCAAGAGACAAATCTACAGCAGGACATGATTCAAAATCCTCAAAGGCACTGACAATGTCAACCAAACCCGCTGATTTCTTAGTGAAACACCTACCAGACAACACAAGTCTGAACGACAGGGAAATGAGAACAGGTGGCACCTTTTCAATTATAAGTTAGTGGCAGTCTGGTACAAAGTTGTACCAAAGGTGTTGAAGCTTTGGCAGGATGAGATCTGTGGATCCGTTAAGGTAATAGCAACCGAACCGGTTGGATAGGCTGATTTTCCAGCTCCCAGCTGTAGCCTTCCCGATTTTCTTATGGGCTGAAAAAACACCGACGGCTAATACAGCGAATTCAGGCTTTAGAATTCTAGTACAGAACAGACAATCGGACACATCATGCAGACGCACTGTAACTACCTTCAATAGACCTATAAATAAGGGCTTTAATTTCCCATCTTTGGTGTGTTTGAATCCTTAGGGCGGGTCAGTTAAAGACACTTTCATATGTCCCTGTCATAAAGGGATAAAAGCTGCTAATGGTTTCAAAGCCACAGCATCAGCCAGCTTGTCAGCTCTCACTGCAGTGTTTTTAGTCTTTATTTCATCATCTGACTGATATACAGCAGGGCACTTTGTCCTTCCTGTCCATTTGCCTGAATAGCTTGTTGCCCGGTTCAGATTATACTGATGCATCACCTTTCCGCACTGACTGCATCACATGATGGGGACTGGAAATTGCCTGGGTGTTACATCGGCAACATTTTGAGTTCCACAGTTCCCTCTGTCTCCAAAGTGTGCGAGGTGGTAGTTCCATTCCAGTTTTGGAAAGGGGATGAAAATAAGAATCTCTCTGCATAGCACCTGACCTGTGTTGACTTTTAGGAGATACAATGTCTTATGTACGGCCCCGTTTGAGTAACTAGTGTTTCCATTTTTACTTCAAATTGAGAACATATTCATAGGAAATCTATTTAAATCTACAATGACAATTTTGCTTGTAATTTATTGTTTTGAGCTGTACAAGGGCCTGCCTTTTGTGTGAACTAAAACTGATCAAATACTGCAAAAGGGCAGTTGGAGTCACACTTGCACCTGGCTCTTCCTTGCAATCTCAATTTTACTTGCTTAGTAAACAGGCTAATAGTTCCTAGTCCTTAAGGGACCAGTAGCATACAACTGAGCAAGACTATGAACGTAACCACGACTGGGCAAATGGCTTGTAAGAGTGTGCATGAATGCTTGTAATTCTGCTGGGTGATAAAATAATGAAATATGCAAAGCTTTTTGTCTTTTTGTGCTCATCTTGCTCTCATATGTAGGAGAATCCATTCTTAGTCTGCTTCCCAAGACCTATCTCTGACAGTTTGGCCTGAAACCTTTAGCATAAGCCAATGTGCAATTCTGAATTTTTCAGTTTGTAGTGAAGACTTTTTCTGTTGAATTCTCAATAGCCTTATTTTCCTCTGGCCTACTTAAACCAGAAGTTGCTGTGTGCATTTCTATTGTTTTCAGACCCTCAGATGTTTTCTGGAAGTTTTGATTTAATGTCCATAAATGATGCTTAACACCCACATGGTCTGTATTTAATCAACGCAATTTCACATTCCACTTGTTGTTAACTTTGTTTGACAGGGGCTTACTTGCATCTGTCAGTGCCAAGCTGCCATTGAATTTTAGGCTTGGAATTTGTCATTGAGGGGTAGATTAAATTATGTATATAATTAAAACGAATTGTTGCAGTCTTTAAAAAATATATCAGGAATTGTTGTGGTTTCAGTGCCAATTCTTAAAGGAAATGCAAAAGGAAAGGTGAATTTGACACCCATTGTTTTATATGCAGATTTAGCAATGATTGATTTTCCAATTAAACCCTGAAGCTGTTTTATTTGCTGTGAATCAGCCTCTAAAAAACAGATGCATCTGTCATTTTGTGAACTGCAGTCAGTTCTGTGTAGTTTAATGTTTTGTCTCGTTGACTAGCATTGAGAAATGTGTGTGGAACTTGGACTAAGCTGGATAGACCATACTGAGGATTAGTGCTACAAGAGCTGTCAATCGCACATGGTATGAATTGTACATGAACTGTTTTGAGAGCAGTGATGAGCTCATTTGAGTCCATGTTGATGGGATATGACTGCTGTCATTCCGAATCCTTATGAAGTGGTTTTGTTATTTATTCACTTTGCTCACAGTGAAATAGTTTTATATAGGACAGGATTTTGTCTTAAGTTTAAAAATATAAGCTTGCCCAGTACTGCATGAATTCACTGTGTGGTAATTGAAATGCTTTCTTTTCTTGTGACATACGCTGGCATTTTATCAATCTGTAGTGTTTTTTTTTGGAAAAAGCAAAAGCAAGATATGTTGTGAGTAAAAGTCAGTATTATTGGGCCATACACTCTTTTCAAGAACTTTAAAATGTAAAGGTACAGGATGGTTCAGTTTCTGACCTGGAGTGCTGTCTGTGTGGAGATTGTATGTTCTCCCTGAATCCACGTGGGCTTCCTCCCACAGTCCAAAAAAAATACTGGCCTGTTAATTGTCTTCTGTGAAAGTTGGCCCTAGTGTGAATGTGTCCTGAGATGGACTGGCGTCCTGTCCGAGACGTCTTTATTGAAGTGAACTTGTGGACAGATCCTTAATTCAAAGTTAAGGAATATCAAAGTGCTATATTATTAACAATACATATGGAATCTGTCCCCCCCCCCCCCCCCCCCC